AGCAAGTGGTAGTTGTAACTTTAGGCAAGCCTTGTTTTATTTATTTACTTCTTATTCACTGTTTACGTATTTGGGCTTATATTCTTAGTTGGTTTCTTCAGATTTAGAAGATTGTGTCAGAGGCTTGTTGTGAACCTTGCATGAGGGAGCCTGTTCTGCTTTGGAATCCTGCATGGCTGTTTGACAAGGAGGATGAAAATATGTTGGGGGCCATTAATAGGCTACTTACGTTTATGCAACAGCTTTTAAAGAGAAACCACTCCTTTGAGTAAAGGTGAAAAAAGCCCTACATCTTCTTACAGCAGTGATGTTAGGGCTATCCAGAATGTGAAAGTGACTGTTCTGACCACTCCTTGCTTCATGCACAATAATGCCAAAAAAATAAAACACATAGATAGGATTCCTAGAAAATGCAGCTAAAACCAAAGCCTGAGGGAAAACCTGCCTGGGGCTCAGAAAATCTGTCTTCACCTGGGGGGTATGGAAAAAAGAGAAACCAGGTGACTCAGCCCTACTCTTAGCATTCTGACTGCCTTTGTTTTGGGTCTGGATAGTTAATTAGTGGTTTGTCTTTTCTTAAGTTGCATAAAATAGTTGCTGTGTAAGCCAAGACCTAGAATTTTTTTTTTTCCTTTTGTTTTAATTGGGGGGAAGTAGGGAATGAAACTCCCCTTCCCTCCCCTTCAGTGTTGTCTGTGAGGAAGGGCTACAATTGCAGCTCAGGGTGGAGTCAAAGCTTATAAAAACCAAAAAGTCTTAACATTTTCTTGTATATTATTTCATTGTTGTGATGGCAACTTCTCCTGAACTTAATTCTCTATTAGACCTCAGCTTTATTGCCTTCTTCTCAAACACATTCAGTAACTTTTTAAGCTATAGCAATGCAGCAAAGATCGGAGTTCTGGTTTGTAGCAGCATAGTTGTCTGACCTTCTCTGTCCCCTCCTCAGTGCCTGAATGCATTCCCTCCCACCAGGTTTATTTATGCTGCAACTAGCCACCAACCTGGAGCCAAGCAAATTGTTCCCTTGGTTTGTGCACATGCTCCCTGCATGCTGCTCAGACAGGCATGGACTGTGCAGCAAGGTCACTGCCCTTGACCTGAAATAACTACTGTTGCTCTGCCTCCCTGTGGGAGGAGAAGGGGTATGTATGTCAAATAGGGCTTTACACAAGTCATATTAGGTGACAGTCTGCACACTTGCCTGTCACTGGACACTTTGAATCTGTCTCTAGTGATTGTTAATGAGCTACCGCTCCCTCACACTGTAGCAGTGCTATTGCATGCAGTCTTTACAAACATTGCAATTGCAATCTCTTTGCTATGTCCCTGTGGTGTCTTGACTGCAAAGCTTGATCTGGAAGCTGCAAAATCATGAACTGTTATGAAATTTTGCCCTATGGATAAAAAAATAAAAGGTGGGGGGGAAGAAAGAAGAAAAATCCAGCGAGAATGGCAGCTGGGCTTTAGAAGAGGTCTGCAATGTGCAGGTGCCTGAGGACTTGGAAAGGCAAAGTTGTTTAAACATAAAAGCAACAGTTATCTTTAGACCTTTGCAGTCTGCTGAACAGAATCTAGTCATCCTGCTCTACAGAAGGAAGGTGGCACCTCCTGAACTTTTAGCTCCATTATAGTTAAGCACAAGATGCTTTTGAAACTCTTCTTTGCCCATTGTTACCCTGGAAGACTTGCTTGTCTCTGCAGTGTTTAGTTTAATTCAGTGTGGATCAATTCCATTGAGTCTTGGTAAACTTAAGCTTTGGAAGGAGACATATTTTTTAGAAATAGTAAAGCTTTACTTATTTTCCAATAAATTCCACAGAACTAATATTTCTGAGACCTTTCTGTAACTAGCCTCAGCTTAGTGGTCCCTTGAAGCTTTCCCCTGTGCTTTCAAATCACTTCTTTTAGTAGTGTTGAAGATGCTCCTTTTTGAGCAACCACCGTTCTGCATATTTCTTTAGAGGGAATAGTTTCTTAGAATTGACAGTATGGCTTGTTTTATGGTGAAAAAATGTTTCAGAGTTACGAAATGGTCCTGTATTCTTTTCCTCTAATATAGCTGTTGAATTTTGTTTGACCAAATCTAGTACTGCAGGTTTGGAAGAAAAAAAGCTGCGCCCCAGAACAGGGAAGGGTAGGAGAAAGAACTCAAGACTTTCTAATATTCCTGTCGTATTGGATGAGCAGTACTACCCTGAACTGTGTTGCATTTGTAATCATACTGCATCCTACAAAGTACTCGAGTTCCAGGATTTACGATAGTCTATTAAAAGTACTGTTAAATTCAAACTGGAGAGCGCTGTGCTAATGTGTCAAGTAAATGTTGCCATAAAAAGCAGCCCTGTGTTTCTCTGTCAAACAGTCCTTAGCCTTGGCTTCTCAAAGATGGTCCCTGCACCAGAGCTGTTTGCACTAGAGAATTTGGGCAACGTGTAACACATGCCCTTCTTGAGCAAGAAGGTGCATGATGCCCCAGCATTAAATAATGAGGGGCCCCACCATAGAGAGCTGAATATATTCCAAATGCTGGGAACTCCACTGTAATCAGATAGTCGTTATGCTCTTGCTGACTAATTGAGGGTGTCTTTTAGTCTTTAAATTCATTGAAAATGCAACCACAGTGCTCACAAAGCTGTGCAGTAGTATAATGGAGTCTGGAGTAGTGCCAGGAGGTACTGGCTTGGGGAAATAAGACTCTATAAGAAGGAAAAGCACTGCAGGAATTGGCCTGTAGAAATTTATTCCAGGCAGAACTTCGACACAGTTGTAAGCAAAATGGTTTAACTTGCTAAAACAGTAGTGGATTAATTTTGAGAGTAATTTCTTGAGCTATGTAGCTACATTTTCTTCACCTATTTTAATCCATGGTTTAGATAAGCTTGTCTCTTTTCTTGCTTTAGTATTAGTTATATTTTGTGTTCACTTAAACACTTGAGACTTTTTTGTGTAGATTTTGAATTTACAGATACTTAATGTGTATTTTAAAGTACATAAATATTATAAATTATGTGAGGTCACAAATATGAGATCATGATTTCTGAATTCCTTTTCTGTATTGGATAATCAGTGTCAGCCGAATTCAACAGTTTCTGCTACTGAATTTATTTCTACAGCTACTGTAGGAAAAAGAAGGTCTAAATAAACATGTAGGAGGTATTCAGCAGCCAAACAGTTCTGGGCCTCTTGTTCTTAAAATATTACTATTTAATGTATTCATTTCTGTGACTTCAAACACTGACAAGCCTCAAAGTATCAAAGCTAGGAATTATTAGAGCAGAACTTAAAAGTAGCATAGTTTATTTTGCATTATTGGCTTATTGACATTGTGATTTATTCTTTCCTAATAATGCTTATTTTCTCCTTGTCTAAAATAAGATGTGATTTGACTGATGTACAGTCAGTGATTGGACTTTGACTTTGAACTTTAGAAGGAAAATATATATATATTTTGTACCTCGAAAAATTATGAGATGTATTGAGGAGAAGCAGTTTCTTGTACCAGCAATAAACTCCTTCAGCCCCCTGTTATCATGCACAACCAGGATTTCATCTCTAAGTTGTTTCTTGAACTTAGTGTCCTGTTGCCATTTCGACAGGCGCGTCTTCATGATGGCCTGGTTGCCCTGCCATTACACGTCTTCTGAAACTTTATTGAGTTATATTCTCCTACGTTACGTCTTCATGTTCTTTGTTCTCCCTTTCAGACAAGGAATCTTGCAAGACTTCTATCTTCTCAGACCTCTGTCTCACCATTACCTTTTAATTAGCTTCTTGTTAAACTGGCATCTTTCCCTTCTCACTTTTCTGGTCTCCTCCTTTGCTGCTTTTCTCACATTCTTCTGCTGCCCTGCCTCTTTCTTCCTTGTAATTAAGTTATTTCTCTTCTTTGGCTATGTCATCAATAGGTCTTTCTAATGATCATAAATTAAAATAGATATGATTTCATCCTACATACTTTCTTTTCAGACCAGAGTTTCAAAGCATGAGCCTTAAAGCATTGCCACTATTAGAGCTGCAGGCTGGCTGCTCACATGGCAGTGCCCGCTGCAGGCCTGATGTTACGGACCAGGGGCACAATGCCTTGCTCTGTTCTTTTTCCTGTGAATTTCCCCTTGTACTGTCTTGAAACTCTCTGAGCATTGTAGTTTCAAGGCCAGCCTGCTCTAAATATTTTAGTATGCTGTTTGAAAAATGATTGGTTACAATTTAATCTGTAGAGATGTCACATTTAAGCTTCATATGTGCATAAATTCTCCAACTGCTTCATGTGCTTATTTAATGCTTGCATATACAGAAAAGAAAGGAAGAAGACAATCTAAAGCTATCAGATACACCAGCTTCCCTGTTTTAAAAGCAGGCGCAAAAGATAGCTTTGTATTTCTGGCTCTGTTTATCAGTAATTGAGAATTGTTTTTTCTCTTACTGTCCTAAAAAATGCCGGGGAAGAAAAAGAAGAAAAAAATCTATGTCTATTGAACTCTGTCACAGAAACATGCTTTATAGGCATTTTTTTCTGTAACAGGTTTATGAGCAAATATATAGTAAAATGTGTTATTTAAAAGTCAAATATCACGCAAAAAAAATCTGTGTGGTTTATGTAGATAATATGAAACTTCAAACCTGTATTGTTTGGGTTGCTGAATCTGTATTCATGTAGTTTTCACTCCCTAGAACCATGTAGCTATTCCTACAAAGTGTGTATTAGAAATCCTAAAACACCAGGAGCTCATGCTGGTGAGGTATGACAAAATTCAAAGATGAAAGAGAGCAATTTCATCGCCCTAGATGAAAATAAATGGTCAGAAAATAAGGTTTTGTTAAAACAGTAAAGTAGCAGCACATAAATTTGACAGAAAAGACAGCTGCTGCGAAGGCCCTGTGTTGCTCTGGGGAGGGGTATAGTCCTCAGCCTTTCTGTTTGCCTGCTCTGTGGAAAACAGATTAAAAAAAAACTTGCCAATAAAAAGTAAAATACTCTTATTTTTTCTTCTACAGTAAGAGAAGTGGAAAACAAGCGTTGCAGAACAATGAGGTAATTTTTTTCTTCCTAACGTATTTTAAAGTTATACTCATCATTTGATTTGCATTCAATACCATGACTGAAGTTGTACTTGGGACAGAATGAAGTGTTTGGTGCAAATGTGATCTGAAAGGTGCTTCAAATCTGCATTGGTGAAACAAATGGAAAATGGTTAATCGTGTATGGCTAAAATTCGACTGCATAATGGTAATGGTGCTTATTGCCTTCCATTTGCTCTTTATTTCTTTTAGCTCTATGCACTGCAACCAATAGTTGCATGTAGATTGATGTCATTTGCATTTGCTATTAATTGCAAAAAAGTATGGGAATAGATGTCTGACAGTTTTTAAGTTACTCAAGCCTCCAGTGGGCTTGACATTTTTATGATTTTTTTGTTTGTTTCTTTGGTTTTGTTTTCGTTTCAACAGAATGTATCCCTGCAAGCCAATTTTTTGTTTCATGTTCAAAAAAATGCAGCAGTTAAACCTGAAGGGCAGACACCGTGAATAGAAATATTGGGTCTTACAGTATTATGAATAAGGAACTACTTCAAATAATTCCAGCATTGCTGGAAACTTGAAGGTTGGATTGAGTAAATAAAATATTATTCACAAACATCATATTAACTTCCAGACGGACCTTTACAATATTACACACTATAAACATTTGTGTTTTGCAGACCTATATCAAATTGTAAAATCAATCAAACAAAAAACCTAGTTTTCTCATATTATTACAATTGTTTGTGATTATACTGAGCGAAGTATTGGTTGTTTAAATGTAGAAATTCAGAGAAAGAGGGTATTGGCATTAGTTTTTGGGCTTGCTAGGATTTCTCGGTAAAAGTTGCTCTTAGCTAAATATTTTTGCACTTGCATATAGCATCCTATCGCTCTAGATTTTGTTAACACTTTTATCTGAGAAGGAAAATATTAGAGTTGATTTGTGCTCATGGTCTTACTCTGAGAGCATTTGGAGTGAACTGCAGGGACTCGGAGTTTGCACTTGTTGCCCATCGTGCTGCAAACACAAGCAGTGAAGGAGAGGGTGCTGCTGGATCTCTGTAATTATTCCTGGAAATATTAAAAAAAAAAAAAAAAAAAAAAAAAGCAGGGGTGGGGAGGTGGCAGGGGAGTGCTTGCTAATTTTGTTTCAGATAGGTAATGTTGAATCACTGGCTACTTTCTGTCTTTCTCTTCAATTTTGTGTTCCCAAGTCTATCTTTAAAATTCTAAAGTCCCTAATGTTGCTATAAGCATAATTAACGCAAATTGTATAGCATGCAAATGTTTCACATGAATCTTCAGTATAAAAGATAGTAGAGTTATATTGGTAACAGACTTTTTAAGTTCATGTGTCTGTTCTTTTAGTCTAGTTTTGGGATTGTATTCTCATGTCAAAACTGTAGAGGGAAAGAAAGAAAAGGCATCTGGAATATTAGCTTATTTTAAAAGTATTCAATTTAGTCAGTACAGAAGATAGGACTATGTAGAGTAAACAATTTTAAAATAGTCATAAGATTGTGTGCAAGGGGGTATTTTTGTCATCAGCTAGATGTAGTTCCCCAGGAATTGGTTGTACTGTTAAGAGGTAAAGCAGTAACAAACTCTGGTTTCACAGGGAGCAACCTTGATCTGTACAGCCAAGGAGTTCAGGCCCCTGGTAGTCTAGACAGAGCATAAAATCCATCTTTTAAAATAGTGCATGGTGATGTCTTCCAGAGGCAGGCAACTTTCAGAGAGGGCAGAATTGATACTCATTACTATACAGTTATGCTTTCATTAATATTACATTACAACTTGTAATAGGAAATTTTAATGCTGTGGTCTGTATTACTTGTATTTCATTGTTTCTAACAGAAAGTTGAAATAGCTGTGATAGGTATTTACTAGTGCATATTTTTGCGATAAATCAGTTTTCTTTACAATTCCTGTTACCTGTGAGGGCACACACTCCGGATTCCTACATTTGGTTTGACTTGTGTGAGTAAGTCTTAAACTGGGGAGAAATGTTGGAAATGCACTACAGAAAAAAGATAGCTGCAAGTAACCTGGATAAGGAAAAATAACACATCAACATTTAAACAACTTAATACAATACATAAGAATCTCACTCTTCTTGTTTTGCTGCTTCTGTGTAATGCAGAAAGAGGGAAAGAAGGAGCGAGCGATGGTGGACAGTGTATTCATTGCAAGAATATGTAGAATCCTGAAAATACTGGTCCCAAGAACACTTTGCAAAGAGGTAAGCATTATCTGCAGTAACAAATAAAACTGAATGCTTTTGGTGTTCTTTTTACAAATTATATCATAATTTAAATGAAATATATATTTCACTTCCATAGGACGAAATTGTGCTACATTTTTTAAAGTGTCAGTGCAATGCATTTATGTAAAAATCTCAGGTATGTTCCAGAGTTGCATCACTTGTAGTCTGGATAATCTGTAACTGATGTGACATAAGCTGACATTATCATCAACTAATGACTACTGTCTTTAGCATATATTCTAAAATGGCATCTCGGTGTTACTTACTTGCTCAATTTGATGCAAGATAATCCACTTCTCTAGGTAGATACTTTCTATCTTGAAAAAGCACGCCATTCCTTTATTTATTTTTGGCAAATAGACTTTTTAGTAAGGGATCGCCTAGAGATAAATATTAGTGTAATGCCAGGAAAGCTGTGCAGTGTGGAACTTAACAACAGCACAGTAAAGTTGCCCATATCAGTATCCCAGTCATGGTTTCCAGAACACTGTGTATATATAACTTTTTTAAAGTGTGACTTGAGCTTGGAACTTAAGTGCTGGACTGAAATAGATTGGAATAATACATCAAACGGTAAACTCCAGCGTGTGGAATGTCAACAGGATGGATGAACAGGGGCCTTCTGACTGAGCTCAAATGCAAAAGGAAGTACACAGAAGGTGAAAGTAGGACCAGCCCCTGAGGGGGAACCTATAAATTTTTGCCTTTGTTGTATGGATGAAGTCTGGAAAGCTCAGCTGGAAGTTGATCTAGTCAAGGATATGAAGGGCAACAAAGACCACTTTTCTAAGTGCATTAACAACTACAGGAAAATGCGAGCCTTTTGCTCAGCAAGGATTATCTGTTGGCCTCTTAGGCTATACTAGAGGATTCAGGGACCTTGAGGACCACTGCATTGCCAGAATAGAGAAGGATGCAGCTGGGGAGTCCTTAAGCCAGTTGTGTGAGCCCCAGGAGCAGACTGTGCATTGCTGAGTACTGAGGCAGTTGGCCTCTGTCATCTTAGAAAGGTCATGGCAATTGGAAGAGATTACCCATGACTAGAGAAAAGCAAACATCACACTCGTCTTCAAGAAGGAGCATACTGGAAACTGCAGGCTCAGTCGGCCTTACCTCGTTCCTAGGAGGGTTGTGAGCTAATTATCTTGGAAGCCATCTCCAATCACATGAAGGGCAAGAATGTGATTGCAAGCAGCCAGCATGGATTTCTGAAGGGCACATCACATCCGATTAACCTGATTGCTTTCTTTGAAGAGTTGAGCAGCTGTGTGGATAAGGGGAAGCAGAGGATGTTAAATATTTTGACTTTAGCAAGTCAAAGATGCGTCTCCCACCGCGTCCTGATAGCCAATCTAGACTGGCTAGGTAGAGGCACAGTGAGGTGAGTGGAAAATTGGCTGGATGTTGGCCTTCAAGGTTTTTGATCAACAATAAAAGGTCCAGCTGGGCCCTCTACTGTTTTAGGGAGGTGGTGTTCCACTCTGTTCAGCACTAGTGAGATGGCATCTGGAGTATTGTGCCCTGTCTTGGGATCCCCTGTGCAAGGAGGACAATGACTTGCTGATGATTAGGTGATCAAGATGATTAGAAAGCTGGAGCGTATGACATATGAGGACGTGCTAGGAGGGCTAGGTTTGTTCAACCTTGAAAAGAGAAGGCTAAGGAGAGATAATAGTGCTGTCTGTCCATACCTGATGGCAAGGTGTGGAGAAGTTGGACACTTCTCAGAGATCCTCTGTGGAAGAATGAGAGGCAATGGATGCAAGCTGGGACACAGGTGGTTCAGATTTGATGCAAGGGAGAAAATTCCTCACTGTGAAGGTAATGAAACCACTGGAACCAGGTTATCTAGAGCAGTTACAGAATCTTTGTCCTTAGAGACCTTCAGAGTATCACTTGGCAAGCTGTTAGTGATCTCCTTTAAGTTGCCTGTTCAGTGTGGAACTGGAGTAGGGGGCCTTAAGAGCTCCCTACCAACCCGTAGGATGCTGTAGTTATGGCAGAATGATGTTTCATGATAGCAAGGGCTGATACCTAAACTTCTCTGTTATTTCTGCTCTTCTCATCTAATAAGAGCTGGATATAGTAGAATCATTTACAACTGGGCATACATATCAAGCAAATGTAGCTTTTTAAGATAGACTTTTTTCATTAGATTTTCTTGAGTAAAAATGTAATAATAAGTGTATTTTATTTATCGAAGATATTGTACGTTAATCTATTTCCTTCAAAGTAAACTGATTTATTTTGATAGCTAAGGATGAGAGACTATGAGGTGCGTATGGGGAAGAGTTGTTTTGGTTTGGTTTTGTTTTTACAAGGCAGAATTAGAGCCCAACTGGAAAATAAATACAAATTTAATTGGTTTTGTAACTTACACTTATATTTTGAACTAGACAGGTTATTTGCTGCTCATTGCTGTCACACTGGTACTCCGTACATACTGTGATGTTTGGATGATTCAAAATGGAACACTCATTGAAAGGTAGATATCGACTTGTTTATTTTAAACATTATTTCCTGCATTTAATAGGGAAAATAGTCTATATTAGAACACGGAATCAGACATTTTATAGGTTTCTTCTTGTTCATATAAAACTAGTTGTAACACAGGTAAGTTTATAGGGTGGGGGCAACTCTATTTTTAGAAAGATTTATTTTTTCTCTTGTATAGAATTTCATTTTATTTTTTATACCAAACTTACCTCTTTTTCTGAAGTCTTTTTTCTTTGTCACATTTTGTACACTTAGGACTTTGAATCTCATGTTGGTTTGAATTTTTGTAATAAGAGAGCACTTCAGAATACTGTAATGCTGCAGTGCTTCTACAGTGAACAAAGTCAGTATTCTGTTACACTTGCCCAGTGCTATGCATTTTTAGGTTTTTGGTCTATGTATGTGTATAGTACTTTAAAAGTCATAATCAAAAACATGTAATGCTGCTAATTATACATACTTTTATTTATAGTGTGATTGTAAGTGGAGATAAAGCACAATCCAAAGTGTTCCTATAATTTCCTAAAATTTATAGCTGCTGTTCTAATGGTTATTAGCTGTTGAACATGAAAGCATCTGCAGTTCTGTGCTTTGCTGATGTTCCATAGTTGATGCAGCACTGAGGCAGCTTCTTTGGCTCTCTCTGTTATCCATGAGTTGATTTAAACTTTAAACAAATCTAGAAAAAATTCTAACAAATTCAAGGAAAAGAAAGTCTTCTTGTATGTATTTCTCCTGTTTACTTTGGAGGCTGTGAACGGTTGGTCCCACTGCTCCCGCCTGTAATATCAAAGATTTTTCTTAAAATGCTTGTCAAAAATTCTTAAATTCATAACTGAATTTGATTTTTAGTATGAAAACTCTTATGACCATCTTTGTTCAGATAGAAGACTGTTTCTATTCCTTCTAAACTGTTGGTCAGCTAATAGCAGCAGCTTATTCCTTCTGTCCAGCTTATATGTTAATTAGTACCTCCACTTCTGTAGTGTTAGGAAGCCAGAAGATTTCTTGCAGTAGTTAGATCTTCGTATAGAAGAAGAGAGTTTATAGATTTTTGGGAGAAGGTGAGAATACTTTTTTAGTATCTTTTTAATTGAGGTCGCTTTTCTATACAACTTATTTTCTTTAAATAAATATCTAAAGTTAGACTTTTTCCTCAGGTGTAAATGATGTTTAATAACACCATTATAAGAAACTGGACAGAGTTTCTATTAAACTGGAGTTACTTTGTAAATGATGTTAAAAAATCCTTCATTGTTACAGGCTGCCCAGAGAGGTTGTGGAGACTCCTCTGGAGTCATCCACCTGGATGCCACCCTGTGCCATGTGCTCTAGGTGTCCCCGCTGGAGCAGGGAGGCTGGACTAGATGATCTCTAGAGGTCCTTTCCAACCTCAACCATTCTGTGATTCTGTGCTTTTTATTCTTGTTCCAGTCTGACTTGTGGTTTGGTTTGTTATGGTTTTCTTAAACAACATATTTTGACCTCGCCCTTCTCCTAGGAATTTGACTAGTAATCATGATGCAGGAATAGGTACATTTTCTTCTCTGTTTTGTGTCTCATTGATTGTTTTCTCCATTCCTTCTTTGTTTTTTTTGTCTAATTTTGTGTTTTTGGTTCATTTTGGCACACCTTTCTTTCCATTTTATGCATTTGTTAAACTTGCAAGGAGCAAGTGCCACTGCAGCAGTCCAGACTGACTAGCATCTGTGAAAGTCTGAAAGCAAAGGAACTAGTATTCTGTGGCCGTGTATTTATGAACAGTAAACACAAGCAATTTCCAGGGAAGCAGCGAGATAAAAGCTTCCAGAGTGCTTCTTACCACTTAAATTACAAAAGTATAAAAGACTTGGTCCCACCACAGATCCTAGGTTTCCTTGATTACTTACTTTCTGTGATCCACTGCATAGCCTACTTGTTTGCTCTCGCTTAGTAAGTGCTAGTTTGCAGTTTCTCTTGCAACTAACACTGCAGCTTGTGGTCTTTTGCAGTGCCATCATTGGTCGCAGCAGAAAAGGTTTCAAGAAATACTTGTTCAACTTCATTGCTGCAATGCCTGCTGTAAGTGCTTTTTTGTTGCCATGTTTTAAGTAGAAAACATGTAAAATAGATGTTTTCTCAGTTCCTTAAAAAAATTTATGAGTGCCTGAAACTACAATCTGTTGTTCCATGTGTAGGTCTGTGTTAAAATTTTTAATTCTTGATTTTGGTATGTGCAAGGCGGTATCAGCTCAAGTTTCCCTGTTAGAACAATTTGCTGATACTTAGGTTTTCAGGTTTGTTTAAATATTCTAGTTCTGAAATTCTCGTCCCCTCTAAAAGTAAGGGTTTTCATTTTAGTCTTTAGTTTTCTAAACTAGTTTCAGAAAATGCAGTCTCTAGTGGTTTTTTTTTTTCCCCTCCACATCTTTCATCTTTCTTTCGCCCTAAACTCCTCACCCGATAGGAATAAATTACTACTATATATTAGTAGATCTAATTGTTTTGAAGTAGGCTTGAAAATGAATCAGTTTTATGTAGTGTTTGTCAAATAGTGATTATTTTCTAGAGTTTATGAGAAGGGATGAACACATGTTATTTATATACTGTTTAATACTTTATCTTTGGATGTGATAGGATGCACTGAGATTTGGGGTTCTTAGAAATGTAAACCAGAGCCTAATTCATAGCCCTGTGGACACTGAGGTATGGGTGGTCTTCATTGTGTTAAGTGTATTACTAACTTCAGGGGGAGAATTTACATGTTGTAAGAGCTTTTGTGATCTATGCTAATTGATCTGAGTATGTTCATTATTGTTGACTAAATTTCTGTCTTTAATTATGTTGCTATTTGTTTTTTAGATCTCTTTAGTGAATAACTTTCTGAAGTATGGACTAAATGAACTGAAACTTTGCTTTAGAGTAAGACTCACAAAATACCTCTATGAGGAATATCTTAAGTAAGTAACAACTTGTTAAATGTCTAATGACTTTAAAAATCAAGTTTAAATCAAGTTCTTTGGTTTTAAACCAAAACAAATCATTTCACATAGATAATAAGAAAGCAGTAAGCTTCTTAGTATGCACACTGGTTAAAAATGGCTTTTAGTTGCAGTCAACTTTCAGTTAAGTGTGAGTGATTTTACCTCTATTGTATGTTGTCCCTGGCACATGTATGAAGACAACAAAAGTAGCTCCATTAGGAAAAAGAAAAAGCTTAGATTGTGCAGATGTGAAAGTTTAACCACATATGAATGCACTGTACTGATTTGATTACTGGTCTATTCACCAAGTCCTTTGGGTATGTTTGCACAGTAAAGGGATTGAGCTAATAAACTTGCAGACTGAACTGGATGCACGAACTTGAGTGGTTGCTTATGTCTTTCTGCACTGAATTCAGATTGTCATGTGTAGTTTCATGAACGTTTACTAACTCAGATGAAGCTCACCCCCAGACTGCTCTCTGCAGAGGTGCTGCAACTAAGACAACAGCCTGGAGCCTAAATGCTTCTGCAGGATTTAATCTGAAACTGGTCAGGCGAATGTACAAACTATGCTGGTTCCCCTATATTTGTATGATGCAGGAGTTTTTCAGTTATTTGAGGTTGAGGTCGCAGGTAATCAATTTTTGTCACTCTCTTTTTGTTTCAGAGCTTATACATACTACAAAATGGGAAATCTGGACAACAGAATAGCTAATCCAGATCAGCTTCTTACCCAGGATGTAGAAAAATTCTGTAACAGTGTAGTCGACCTATACTCAAACCTTAGCAAGGTGCGTCTTTTATAAGAAAACTTTGGATAATAGCTGTGCAAATTTAGACTGTTATGTCAGGGCTCAAAATAATAGTTTTAAATTGTAAGTATTTTTAAACAATACATTGCTTATAATAGCATCTTACTAAGTGTGTGTTGATCTTACTAAGTGTGCAGTGCCAAAAGGAATTGAGTAAGATGATATACTGTTGTTCTAGTCTCTTGCTTTTCCTTTCTAAAATGCTGTTGTGTTTTGTCATGCTTTTTTAAATTATGTGTGTTTTTTTTCTTATTAAGCTAAATCCTTTGGTGATTGAACACTGAGTACACTTGCCGGGATAGTTATTTGGTTTCAGAACAAAAGGCTGCTTTTTGGCTATATATGATTATAATTTTGGGTAGGAAGATCGCTTTGTGTCCCTCTATTTCAAGTGGGATGTGTTTTTTCTTTTTCAGTCAGTGTAAAAAAAAAATTAAGCTCTGTTGTGTAAAGGCTACCGAATTCATAGTTCAGTTGCTATTCTTTTGAGAGAAGGGGAGAGAATGAACGGGATTGCTCAAATTTAGAACTTTGCTTCCCTCAGGCACATTGGCAAATATATGGCATTATCCCTCCCCTCTGTTTCCACTTCTCACAATTATTTCAATTAAAAGGGTTTAGTCCAATTTTTCTTAGTTTGTGAAGTACTGTATTCTTGTTTGTTTGTTTTCAGAGTGAGTATTTTGTTTGAAGAGCATGGTGCTGTTATGTTCACTTTTTGCATGAACATGACCAGGAAAACATAATGTGGCTGAGATTTCTTTTATCTAGCACTTGGTTTGCATAGCAGACTAAGAAACATTGTGCTTTTAATGCAGAGCATAACTCTTTTGGGGAGCAGGGGAGGGAACATTATTATATTAATGTTACTGGTGTGTAGTAATGCAGTTTTTCTTATTGTTTGTTGCAGCCATTTTTGGATATAGTTTTGTATATCTTCAAGCTAACAACTGCAATAGGAGCACAGGTAAATGAAATGTTCTTTTCAATATTCAAAAATGTTATCCCCTTCTTTGGCTATAGCATTGCACCTATTTGGAATCTTGAGGGAAACAGTAGATGTTAATTATGGATTTATTCATTAATTGAAAGGATATGTCAAAATAATTTCTTATATATTTAAATGCTTTCTCGCTTGAGGCAGGGAAAATAATACTAGAATTTGCAGGCACTCAATGAAATATTTTAGAACACAAGAAAATTCCTTTTTCTTCTAGTAGTTGGTCAAAAATCTTGTTTACTAAGGTGTCCTTTCAGGCTGTGTTATAGCTTGCATGACTTTCGGGTAAAATCCAAGTTTCTTCCTAATCTCCATAAGATGAAGCAGTTACTTACATAGGACTTAGTACTCCCAGGGATGAAATGTAAGCAGCAGCATATTATTACCCAGGAATATTTTAGGCATTATTAAGCACAGGTTATTTTTGCTAAAATTTGGAAGGCTGGCAGAAGTCTTAGTAAAAGAAAACCTGCAACAAGCAACCCAGCTAATATGAGGCTATGTCTGTTAGCTAGTATTTTAACATCTTAAAAAAAAAATGTAATAAAATGATAGTCAACTTTCTTTTGCCATGTTTCCAAATGAAGGCTTGAGTTATGCTCAATACCTCAGCTGGTCCTGTTTCACTGTCCAAAGGTTTCTTCTTGGTCCATTATGCCAGCCCCCAGCTTTGCCAATGCCATTTCTGAGCCTCAGCTGAGAGGTCTAGATAAACCGTAGTCACTCCAACATCCTTGTATTGTTTCCGTGATACAGATCTGCAAACAGTTTGTCAAATTCAGTTGATGCTTTTGGCTTTTTGCTGCTCTGTGCTTCAATGTTATTTAAGCATGTTGCAGTTTAAGAGGCTCATGTTGCTGTTAGCAAGCCCTGATTGGCTACAGCTTGGGCTTCAGGAGGATGAGAGATCCCTACCAGGACTGCTTGTGAGAAGCAGGAGCTGCATGGGTCAAGAAGGGGTGAATGGAATTGGAATATTGGCAATTACGATAGATGTAGCAAAATTATGGAAAAAGAAACGAATAGAAATGGAAGGAATTGAGAAAGAACCGGAAAATTTCTAATGAGCAGGAACAATAGGACATGGAGATTGTACTGGGAGAAGATAAAAAACTTGCATAGAATGGGATGAGGACGTCATTTGGGGACAAAGAATTTGGGGGAAGAAAAGCATTGCCTTTAACACTTAAAAGGGGAAATGTAGTGGGAATTGCAGGAGTATTATAAAGGAGATGATACGTAAGGCAGGAGTGAAGGGACTAAAGCATTCTAGGAATTTTGGGTACAGGTGTTGCAGTTGGAGACTGACTAGATAGTGATTTATATATTTTAATATTGACAGGGTCCGGCTAGCATGATGGCATACTTGATTGTCTCAGGGTTTTTCCTTACACGCTTAAGGAGACCCATTGGCAAGATGACTATTATTGAACAAAAATATGAAGGAGAGTACAGATACGTCAACTCACGGCTTATTACAAACAGGTATAGATATATATGGATGGTAAGATATAAGCAATATGGCATATAAATAGAGGCTGGATTTTAAAAGTCTTATACAATTAGTCCTAAGCAAGGTATGTATATATTTATGCAGATTGCTGTTAAATAAATCTGTGGTGTAAGAAACCTATGTTTAAATGTTGTGGAAACATAAAAACTCTTCTTATTTCACAGGGTAACTGAAGAATTACTGTTCCAATGCTCTGTAGTTTACTGTTTGCTGAAGAATTACTGTTCCTATGCTCTGTAGCAACTGACTTTTAAAAAGATTTTAACAAAATTAGTTATATTCTTTTTTTTTTCTTTTAAGTGAAGAAATTGCTTTTTACAACGGAAACTTAAGAGAAAAACAGACTATTCACAGAACCTTCCGTAAACTGGTAAGAGAATGTGTGTATGCTTTTTATTAAAATGTTTTAAAGGAGAGAGGGGAAAAAAAAAGTGAAAAGTACATAAAAATGAGTTTTGTCATGATGCTTCATAAAGTTTTTTTTTCACTAATATTCTGTGTTTTCTCTAGTTTTATATTGTCATAATTTGTGAAAGTTTGGGGTCAGAAGAAGGCTTATTTAGCTCAATTTCAGTTAAGTTTATTCTTAATACCGTTGATAAGTTGGCAATCTTAAACTTGCCTCACTGATTGTCAGGTTCACTTTTTTGGCGGAGGGGAGGGGAATGGCAATTGGTACTTGGTTTTAGTTAAAGTAATTACTGTAATTGAAATCAATTTCATAAACTTTGAATGAATCAATGGTCAGAAAAAATGCTAATGCAGTGTAATACTAAGGGATTCCATATCCATTTCTGTATTTAACTTTTTGAAAAGTTTTCATGTGCTAATCTCTACTGATGGTTTTTGGCAAACATAAAACAAATTTGTAGGCCGTAAACACACACAACACATACTTCAGATAATTTGGGCTTTATTTTGCCACTTAGTATTTTTACCCACCACCAGGACTATTCTCTCGCTACTTTTGAATGTAAATTGTTTTGATCTAGAATGGGAGTCTTTGCCCACGGGGACACTTGTACAATGCTTAGCACATTTAGGTGACAGGAATTGTTGAGGTATTTTGGCTTACTGAAAAACAAATAGCTATGCTTGGAATACAACTTCTGTAATATAACACAAGTGAGTGAAACAAGTACTGATATAATTTGACTTTTCTATTTCTGTATCTTATCAGGTGGAACACTTGCATAATTTCATCTTGTTCCGGTTCTCTATGGGATTCATTGATAATATCATTGCCAAATGTAAGTGTTTGCCCTGTGCTAATGATCTTCTACAGATAACAAATTAAGTGCTAGGATTTTTATGTACTTTTCACTTTTTTCTTTTTTCCTTTTTTTTTTTTTTAATTCACTTTATGTGTGGTTTAATATTTACTCTTTAAAACTTGAAGACTTTGCCACTGTGGTTGGTTACCTCGTTGTTAGTCGTCCATTTTTGAATCTGGCTGATCCTCGCCATCAAAATAGTACCCATGCAGAACTTCTGGAGGTAAGCAGTACGGAATAAAAACAATTTTCTTAATTTAAATTTTGTCCATATAAAGCATTCTTTTTTCTTTCTCTCTGCTTTAGGATTACTACCAAAGTGGAAGAATGCTGCTAAGAATGTCTCAAGCTTTGGGCAGAATAGTGCTAGCAGGACGTGAAATGACAAGACTGGCTGGGTAAATTTAATAATAGATCAGTAAAATAATATCACTTAAACAATGCTGTTACCATTTTTCATCTTATTCTTAAAAAAAAAGAAAAAAAGTAGGCTATAGAATTAAAACAACGTGGACTTATGTGCTCTGTTCATTGAGGCACCCTAAAAATCTAGAGGTTAGCATTTTGATTTGAAAAACATTATAGTTGAAGAGATATTAGTATGTCTTCTAGGAATTTTATATTTGAATAGTAGCAGCATACATTTGATTGATTAATTAGAAAAAAATAGTAATTGCCAGATACATGTAAATCAGTTATGCATTATTTACTTTACCAAAATATTTAAGTTCTTGAGTTTACTTTTTAAGAAAAAAGTTCTTCTCTATAGTATAAATATTTGGCTATTGTGAGAAGAGATTCTTGTAAAAATTGCTGAAGTCGGAAACTCTCAGTGCTTCTTTTTTTGTGCTAGGCTAATCTTAGTGAAATCTGCTGAGTAACTTGTTGTTTTGGGATTTTAATAGAGTAGTCAGAGCTTATTTGGAGAGCTATAAATCCTAAAATTATATAAGCTTTATAAAGACCTTAAAACTATAATTGTGTGTTTTTTTAGTTTCACGGCTCGAATTACAGAATTAATGCAAGTTCTGAAGGACTTGAACAGTGGCAAATATCAGCGTACTATGGTATCGCAAGAAAAGGGTAAATGTGGCAACTCATATGCAATATTTGTTTCTGTGTGGCAGTCCAGTCTCTAATACTTTTTTTTTTTTTTTTTTTTTTTTAATTTAAGATGCAGATAAGACACAAGTTCTGGCTCTGATTCCTGGCTCTGGAGAAATTATCAACGCTGATAACCTTATCAAGTATGTATATGAAGTTATTCCAACTTTAATATTTTTAAACTAGGAGGTTTTTTAGCCTTTACCACTGTCAGTAGAGCTTTTAATGCATATTATGACAACTTTTCATTTTATGCTGTGAAATATCTTATTTATAAATAACTCCACTACTCCCACTTAGTGTTCATATTCTGTAAGTCGATCCTTTTGCTTTAATGTTAAAGACATTATATATATTTCTGTAAAAATCAGTGGCACATCAGTATTCGTTTTCAACATTTGCTTGTATTTCTATATGCTTTCACTTATTCGATCACTAACATACTGACATAGCAATCCATTCTTCATTTTTTTCAGTTTGAAAAACAGTGTTGACATAGTAGTACTCTTAAAGCACAGGAATAAATTAAGGCAAATTAAGAGATTAAATAGCATTGATAAATCTCTGTGGAAAGAGATAATGTACTGGGGAGAAGGTAAAGAAGTATTGCTGAGTCTTGCCCTGCTCCTAAGGTCTTTCAGTAAATATGCAATGCTACAGTGGGTGCTCTGTTTTTTTTTCCCTGTATCATTTTACAAATAGGTTTGATCACGTTCCATTGGTGACACCTAATGGAGATGTTTTGATTCAAGACCTTAATTTTGAGGTAAGGTTTTTACATATCATAGTAAAATATATAATGCTTCATAAAATGTTTTAAAGTGAAGATTGTTTCAGATCTGCTTTGAAATAAGTTAAAGGCCAGTAAATTAAAATGGAGGACTAGATTTGTTTATATGGTATGATTAGTGTTTGAACAAAATTAATTGCAGTAAAAAAACTGTGATCAGCCATTGTCCCCAAAATTTTTTAACCGTTAAAGCTTGTTTTATTGAAGCTACAGTTGGTGCTAAACTGGATGGAAAAAAATAATTGCCAAAATCACACAGTGTAATGTCAAGCTGCTTACGTGCAAGCCTCTGAGGACAGTAACGTGTCTCATTATTCATACCCCCAAAATTTTTTTAACCATTAAAGCCTGTTTTATTGAAGCTACAGTTGATGCTAAACTGGATGGAAAAAAATAATTGCCAAAATCACACAGTGTAATGTCAAGCTGCTTACGTGCAAGCCTCTGAGGACAGTAACATGTCTCATTATTCATACACATTTTCAACAGTACTTTCTCATTACCGTTTCTGTGTGTTGGGTTTCATTCTTAGGTTCGATCTGGTGCAAACGTTCTGATTTGTGGGCCGAATGGGTGTGGGAAAAGCTCGCTTTTTCGTGTTCTTGGTGAGGTAAGGGAGCAATTTCAAATTATAGGTGGGAGAATCCAAAACACTGTTGTAACTAGACTTATTTTTCCCAAGTTTAAACACTTTCTTCTTGCAGTTATGGCCTTTGTTTGGTGGGCGTCTGACTAAACCTGTAAGAGGAAAGTTATTTTATGTTCCTCAGGTAAGGCAAAGTACTGTAGTGACAGTAGCATTCTTTTTGCTCGTTACTTTGATTACTCCATGTATAAATATTTGATGTACTTTATCATTTATAACTTTACCTCAGAGACCATATATGACTCTTGGAACACTCAGAGATCAAGTCATATATCCAGATACTTTAGAAGATCAACGAAAGAAAGGGATTTCTGATCAGGTAAAAATAATTATTTCTGTAGCCCTTGTCTCACTTAAACCTCATCTGAAAAAACACTTAAGTCACTATTGAGAATATTGTACATCGTTTGTTTTTAGCAATAACTTTAGTATTTTGGTAATATGTTTGATGGTACACCTTCATAATAGTGTAATATAGCTTTTTAAAGTTGCTTCTTGTTTACAATTCTCTTAACCTTTACTTGTCATTACTGTTTTAATAAAAGGTGCTGAAGGAGTATTTGGATAATGTCCAGCTCGGTCAAATCTTGGAACGCGAAGGAGGCTGGGATAGTGTTCAGGACTGGATGGATGTTCTCAGCGGGGGAGAGAAACAGAGAATGGCAGTATGTCTCAAAAGCATAAATATTTACCAAGTACTGGAAATATGTTGACAATGCGATCAGAATTGTAAACTTTTTTGTTAATAAATATATCATAATATATATTTTATAATATTTTCAAGTAAATATTATAAAATATTAAGTAAAATTATATTTTACTTAAAGAACACAAAACCAAAAGCCCTAAATACCTGGTTATTAAGAGCTGCCTAAAAAAATGCCTATCTCTATCCTATTTTAATATGCCTATCCTATTTTAATAAGAAATATTGAGCATTTGTCACTGCTTATACTCTTGATTAAATAAGCAGAATTTGTGAAATGCTTCTCAGAAATCTGCAAAGATGATATATAGCTCTCAAGTTTTCAGTCTTCAGTGAATACCAATTTAAAAAAAAAGGTCACCCCACAGTAAACTTGTGGATGTTAATTCTTAGTTTAAAATCTAATCTTGCAATATTGGTTGTGATTATATATGCATAGTAGGTTTTTGTTTTGCATTGCAGATGGCAAGGTTATTTTATCATAAGCCTCAGTTTGCAATTCTGGATGAATGCACTAGTGCTGTCAGCGTGGATGTAGAAGGCTACATTTACAGCCATTGCCGCAAGGTAAACTTGCTGTTTTTGTTATTTCCCATTGAATAATATAAGGAAGCACTGGTACATTCTTATCGCTCTGAGACATGCAATATTTAGTATAAAAGGACTGAACTGTGGAAGTAACTGCTAGAAATAGCAATTACTGTCTTTAAATGAGAGTTCTCATATAATGGATGCATGTAGACTTTATCACTTCAGAGTACAGATTTTTTTTTCCTTTTTTTAGTAGTGCCTACAGAGCATGATCTTGCATCTCATGTGTTCTCCATTGTATTCTGCATATTTGTATCTAAAGTAGAATCTGCCCACTACTATTATGTGTCTTCTCAACCATTTTTATCTGCTTAGCAAATTACTTGCCATTTGCTCATACTCCAGAACAATCCATATGCCTTTGTTGCACCTTACAGAAAGATAATCTTTTTGCCTTCATGTGATTTGTGAGTCTGCATCCTTCCATAATGGACAGATTCTCTCTACTGCCTTAGAGAAAGGTATTTCTGAGAATTGCTCTGTCTAGCATTCTTTTAAACCTAGCATGAGAGAAGTTCAGGTTGCAGAAGTTTTCAGTGGGTGTGTGACAGCTTTCTGCACCCAGATGCCCAAGGTCTTCCCGAGTCAGTCCTCTGTAAAGGTGGACTTTGCCACTGCCAGAAATTTTAGATCATTTCTTCTTTTGGAGCCAGGAAGCTACAGTACTACTACTACTACAAAAAAACTTTTTCCGCTAAGCTTTCATCCATTCATTTGCCATTGTTGAGAAGATGGGAAGAAGTTGCCAAGGAATGGGAATTCTTTGAAATATGTAGACCAAAACTGTGTGTAATCTTTCTCAGAATCTTCAGTTTCTACAATTACACCTTTGTGAGTGAGAGGAAACTTGTGGACCTCTGTTATGCTCAGTACAAAGTTAAACAAACCCAAGTCCCTTTATGCATACTAGAAAGCAATAAATACCGTCGTCTCAGTGGTTAATTTAAATGCACATGGCATCTGTATATCAAAGAATTCGTGATGTTAGTAATTAACTTTTCCAGATACACTGTTAGAATGTCAAGTGAAGACCAGATAAGCTAAAGAAACTTTATACTTTTCCTGCTGTAAGAGGTTTCTTTTGGCCAGGACAGGAAGATTAAAGGATTGGAAGCTACCATTTCTGTCTGTCTATCTGAAGATCCGAAAAGCAAAACATTCTAGCAAAACTGTCAAAACATGATAAATATTTTCTTATTCCTTTTATTTGTATACCTACCCTACCAGAGCTTAAGAAATGCCATGCCTGTGGAAATCAAAAATTAATCAGTACCCACCTTTTTTTTTTATTGTCAAGTTTTGTGTTGGGACTACATGATAATAGTCTTGAAGTTTGTGTTTATGAATTTCACCTTTTAACTACTATCAAGATGAAAAGTAAAGCAGTTAATTTCAGTTATGGGTTGGGGGTTATTTACTATGTATTTTCTTCTCGTAGGTTGGCATCACTCTGTTCACTGTCTCCCACAGAAAGTCACTCTGGAAACATCATGATGTATGTAGCCTTTGCTTTGGCTAAGCGTATCTGTAGCTTGGTTAGAAGTTTTGTTGTTTGACTTTTTCTGTCAGAATGGCTTTATAATTCAGTGTTCTTATTTTTACTCTCCAATAGATCATGTTCTGCCTTTCAAAAAGGCTTTGCTTTCACAGTCTAGTGCAGGAATTAAATTCATGTCCTTCTGCTTATGAAAGTTGAAGAAACTGCAATTCTTAAATGCATCTGTAAATGTAGCCTCAAAAACAGGAGATGTTTTTGGCTCATTAGATCCTGTCTTGGTTATCTATCTTAGTCTCAAACAAGACTTGAAACAGTCAAAACAGTATGAAGTATTGCTTCCAAAAGGTACCTGTGTACCTGGATTAATACACAGGGATGAACTTGTACTTAAACTAGACTGTCTTAACAAAAATGGTCTCACTGTTAAGTTTAGGTATCACCATCAGCCAACTGATTAATGATATTAACAAAAACAGCATAGGTTTTTTTTTTTTTCCTTTTTTTTTCTTTCAGAGGTAACTGGGTTTGCTGAAATGTGGTAGGAAAAGATTATCTTTTGACCTGTTGAGTTTAAGATATTTGCACTAAAACTACTTGAAAATGCAATTTATTTGTTCTTCGTAGAGTTAGTCATTTTCAGGGGAAGTTGATAACGTGTTTTCTTGCTTTGCAGTACTACTTGCACATGGATGGTAGAGGAAACTACGAGTTCAAGAAGATTACTGAAGACACAGTTGAATTCGGATCTTAAAATTCATCAACTGCGCTGCTATAGAGACTGATAATTGCAGGAAATATGTAGAATGGCAGACATTGTACAATAAAACTATTCAGCTTGTTTTTAAGCAAATTAACTAGGATAACCCAAAACAAGCTGTTAAGCATTTATTATTATGTAGGATATTGCTAATTGTGTATATGTTGGTTTAATTATTAATATGTACTAAGAATGTCCTTATTCTTGTGGTTTAAAAAGCTGCCTAAATTAAATTGGGCTTAAATTGGTGTAACCTGATTCATCTTGGGATGCAAACCATTTGAAATCAGCAGATTTGACTTTTGTAGACCTTCCTTCCCTTCCATGAAAAGCCCTGTTAAAATTAGGGTTGCTACCTCTCTTGCTCCTGCAAAGCAGTCTTGGATTCTTGCTCCGTTCTATGCATATTTCTGAGTTATCTCACATGGGGCAGGACAGTCTCCCATCTTCAGGTCTGTGCCCTGCTAGATTGATGAAAGAGCCTTTTCCTTGGCCAAGCCTTGTGATGTAGCCAATATGCCTTTGTTGGTAAAGGATGAACTCAACCTAAGAGATGGGACTAATTCCCTCAGATAAAATTAAGCTTGTTCCTTGGTAGGCTTTGTTTGGATTTTCTTGAGCTTTTGTCTGTGTATAGGATTCTGTCTGCTGTTCACCTTTTTCCTAACTTAGCAAGAGCTCCATGCCTCCCCCACTCCAACCTTCTCCTGTCAGAGAAATATTGTGATAGTGAAGAGTTGAGAGTTAGTTAAGGGAAGAAAGAGTTGACAGGGAAGGGGAGAAAAAAAAA